TCACGGAGCTGTTGTTGCACCTGAATAGCATTAAGACGCCCATTTCTTAACATTGTTGACACAATAAAGCGGTCATCACGATCCGTTGTATATCTCTTTCTACCAGTTCCAGGTCGACTATGAAAGGATCGAGTCTCCTCATATCGGTCACACACTCTTCGAATCGCTCCGCGTGTCATATGTAGTTGCCGAGCTACAGCTCTCTGTTTAAGTCCATTTTCGATTAAAGCGATTACTTGCGTGGCTTTTTCCGGTGATGTTTGCATTAAATTGAAACACTAATCAAACAATGAAACAACTAATCAAAGAATAAAAGAACAATGTGAAAATTTCGATTACACAGGTAGTAATTGCAATATTTGACAAGTTTGTTATTCTTATTGTCACCGCAACACAAATACCTTTTATTTGTTTACCCGTTGGTACGCATATAAACGATAAGTACCCTGGATAAATTTATGCTCACATTAAAGCATGTCAAATTGTCTTGCATGTCGAAAACAGCTCATATTTTTTACTTGCTCTGATAAATAGATTCTAAAAGACACAGTTAAAACCAAAAGTTCACATTGGGCCGATTTCTATGCACGTAAGTTTAGTATATCCTGGAATATCTCGTGGAAATTATATAGGGTGAATATGCCAGTAGTCGGACAAAACGTATTTATTGGGATATAAGTTAAAAATATGGCTCAGTATTGCTTCAAATAATTAAAAATCCAATTCTGTCAATTCTTCTGCATTGTTCTATAACATTTTCTTTGCCTAAGTTGCCACTCTGAAACCGTTAAAAATTATATAATATCTACTTACTGTCTTTTTTGTTTGAAATATAATGAAACATAAGTTTTTGGTAGTGTTTAGTGGTCGGACAGCAAAAATTCAACACAAAAGCAGATCAAAGGAAATAAAAGTTGCCCGACCACTGGTCAACGCTAAATTTAATATATTTGGGAGGTCGGAGAGTAGTCACTTTTCGACGTCATGTTGCGGAGTTCAGACTGATTTTTTATGAGATTTTGGTTATTTTCAAGCATGAAGCCTAAAGTAAAAGGGAGTTTTCATCAATACAATAGAGATGCATTAGAAAAAGCAGTCAAAACTGTCCGAGAGGAGGGAAAATCGCGTAAAAGATGCAGTCAGTACAGGCATAGTTTAAAGAATATTAATATATCAGTTGGTCCACTCTAAGGAATTCTATTGTTATTTTGACTTCAAAGGCGGCCCGTGACCTTTCGAGGCGACAAAAAATTTGTACGTTTACCGGGTGCAGCGGAAGTGCTATTTTATCAGTCAGAACGCTGGCCGTATACGAGGGATCAACTAAAAATACTAAGGAATTTTAATATAGCAAGTAGAAAAATAAAAATACACTACTAGTTTTAGGCGTCTTTAATAATTGATCAATATTTATTAGTATTTAGTATTAATTATAAATTAATATTAAAATATTAGATATATTATTCTATCCTAATTCTTTGTAATATGGAATTGTCAATAGGGTAATTATTATGGAAACCCCATATGAAAAATGTATACTAAATAAATATAATAAGTTAATTTTTTTAATATATATAATAATAATTTGCATATTTCTTAAATTATAGCATGTTTTGCTTTATAGATGTATGCATTTTACTTTAATTACCTACCCGGAAAGCCCAAATTTTATCGTAATGTAATAAAAGTACCTTTGCATACAACTTGTGTTGCCATTGTCAATTTTTTTGGAATTTTTTCTAAATTTTATGATTATCATGAGCAGTAATTATGACTGTTAGTAGATAATTGTGTAATAAATTTTACTGTTCGATAAAATTTAGTAAAAACTGAAAAAAAAATGACTATGGCAAGACAAGTTGTATCCAAGTACTTTTTATTACCTTTTAATAAAACGGTAGATAATTCAAGTTAAATGCAAACAGCTAAAAAGCAAAACATGCTATAACTTAAGAAATATGCAAATATAATTTATTACAGTATTTACTACTAATTGAAGAGCACACGGGAAAAATAATGAAAGTACCAAAAAAAGGGGGGCTACACCTTTTGGGGGATATCAAACGGGAATATCGATAACGGCCACATAGAAACAGGCATTTAAAAATGGGAAAAACGATATAAGCTCGGATATAAAAGTCCATGCGTAATTTCATTTAAAAAAACGGTTTCCTGAACATTTATCATTTCTGGATACTCATCGTTTTTCCCATGTGCTCGTCAATTGTTATATTTACTGTTACATAAAATTTAGTAAAAACTCTAAAAAACTTGTCAATAGCAGAAGAAGTTGTATGCACGTATTTTTATTACCTGACGATAAAATTTGGATTTTCCAGGTAGGTAGTTAAAGTTAAATACAAACATCTAAAAAGTAATACATGCTATTTAAAAAAATGCAAATATCTTAAATAATAATTTAATATGCACTTTGCAAACCGGTAAATATTGCAAAATCCAAAACACAATAGTAAAGTATCTACTACTGCTCTAAAATATCTACTAAAATTATAAACTAATTGTTAAAAATAAATATTTTGTGCATATTTCGAGGAAAATCTTTTCTTAATTTATATGTATATTTTTAAAACCATTTTTTCATAGTTAGGTTTCCATAATTATAATATACAATATGGTTCATCCAATGCGTGGGACTGAAAACAAAACTAAAATAAACTTGGAACGCTGTGTTCACGTCGAGCAACGGATGTAGACTCACCCAAGTCTACAAGACAGGCGGGGAGCGGCGGGAGGAATTTTGATACGGGCGAAGAGTGGGTCAACTGATATATTTATATTCTTTAAACTGTGGAGAAATTGAAAAAAATTGTTACCTGGATTGAAAACTTAGCCGTTTGCGGATTTCCAATAAAATAAACAAGCGTTCCTTAATACGGTTGAAAAACGTGTATCTAGAAGAAGAAAAATTGAAAACGCTGTTTACTAATGGAAGCTTGGTTTTATGAATTGCATTGGTATCGTTTAAAGATGATTGTTTCATATAGATAACATACAACAAAAAACGTATACAGGGTGTCTCAGATTTTAATCGGGAAAATTTTTAACTTGTAAGATTTAAAGCTTCCTTTTTGAGATACAGGGTGTTAAAGTTACTTAAAAAAGAAAAAAAAATTAAGATATTTGAAAAACTATTCAATCGATTTTGATATAACTTGACCCGTTTATAATACTTCCTATGGGATTTAATTTGATGTAATTAGATTTAAGTTTAATGGCCAGGGGCGGCGCGGCGGTGGGGCATCACTGTTAAACCATTTTAAAGAAAAAAATAGGCACGCCACTGCTTTTTTAGAAGTATAATAGTATTTTTGGATTTAGTAATTAAAAATATTATTTTTTTGTCTCCTGACTTTTTTGTCTATCTTGCTTACTTCTTGCGAAAAAAAATAAATTCATTTATTTATAAATAATAATGGTTAGGTTATAGACAAAAAAGTCAAAAGACAAAAAAATAATATTTTTAATTACTAAATCCAAAAATAATATTAAACTTCTAACAAAGCAGTGGCGTGCCTATTTTTTCCTTTAAAATAATTTAACAGTGATGCCCCACCGCCGCCCCTGGCCATTAAACTTAAATCTAATTACATCAAATTAAGTCCCATAGTAAGTATTATAAACGGGTCAAGTTATATCAAAATCGACTAAATAGTTTTTCAAATATCTTATTTTTTTTTTCTTTTTTAAGTAACTTTAACGCCCTGTATCTCGAAAAGGAAGCTTTAAATCTTACAAGTTGATATGAACTTTTTGTTTTATTTTTGCAAGTTCTATCGTCTATTAAAATTTCCCGATTAAAATCTGTGACACCCTGTATATAATGTTCAGGATTAAATTTGCTTTAACCTAACAACCTAACCGACCACTAGCTAATTCACCCTACTATAAAGGTTATATAAAAAGTTTATATGATAGGGCAAAAAAAATATGTTCAGACGACATTTCGTAGTAGATAAACAGAGATATAAACCACATAAAAAATACATTAATAGAAAACGACTATCCACCATATTTTATTGACAAAATATTAAACGAAATACAAACTCCAAATCATAGACACAATGATAACAATACACAATATATACAACTTATAATTCTATACATACGAGGCGTTTCGGAAAAAATAAGAAGGATATAGGAAAACAATATAACATACGAACATCTTTCAAGACACAAAATACACTTAGATCCATTTTGTCACATACTAAACCAATGAATACAGAGTATCAAACATAAAATGTAATATACAAAATACCATTTGACATTGGTGAAACATCTAGACCCTTAAATGTTGGAACTGATTATTTAAGAAAGGCAGTTTTTCACAAATCTAAGATTTGTGAGCATTCATGGGACACAGGGCACAGAATAAATTTTAATAACGCCAAAATTATAATGAAAGAAGCGATAGCCTCTAAAAGAAAAAGAAAAAAGGCTTTTTTAATACAATCTAATAAAAATAAATGAATTGCTCATGCATCTGTAGATGTTAGTAATGTATGGCAATCGCTTCTTTGATTTTAAAGAACATAACATACGTAAAAATTAAAAATAATCATACAGAAAGTTTGGGGCTTTTTGGTTTTACCTTATTAAGTAGTTGTTATCAGGTAGTAATTGTTAATTTTGTTTAAGTTTAACTTGATATAATGTCATTTTAACAGAACGTCAACGGTTTTTGTGTCAAGTGTTCTCGAATAGTTGAATTTATATAGTTTTTTTCTTTATTCTTTGTATTTTTTTGCTTCCGACGATGGAAAGAGATAAACTTTCCTAAACGTTAAGCATTTTTTTGTTCGTTAGGCAAATTTGTATAAAGAGATAGATATTTTTGTTTTCTATTGTACGAATAATGTAGAATAGTATCCCAATATCATCCATAACCACTCTCCAAGCACCCTACATTTATCCGTCACTCTTCCGATCCTCTCCAACCGATTTTCCTTCCACTAACTCATCACAATCGCTTGTTGTTGCAGCAGACAACGCCGGAGCTGCTATGGCTAGCATGGCTGCAGCGGCCACATCGGGGGCGGTACCAGGAGGCGGAGCCGTCATCCAATGTGCCGACGACAGAGGCGCCGGATTGGCCAGTTGGTCTATGGGCGGAGCGACGCACGGACAGGCCCTGGCGACGCCCACGCTGTGGCAATATCCTGGTGAGTGAGCGAGGTTGTCGGATTATGCGGTTTGTGGTAGATTGTCGTATTTTTTTGAGGGTAAACGGTATACGTGGTGTTTTTTCTGGCTGTATACTAACTAGATACCCTGTTTACAAGATACTAATAACGTTTTTATTTTTCTTTTCGTGAATAATTTACAATTTAATGTGGTTTAAGTAAGAACAATCTTCGGATGGTTCTTACAGGACACTCTGTCTCCTTAATGAACACCTCAGTAGATCAGAAACAACGGCGAATGCAGATTCTCTGGGGAAAGCCTCTGTAAAACCGTCTAAGATACTTTTGTCAGAGCCCTGAGACTGTATGATGTCTATAATCTACTATGTATGTTAAAAAGTTAGGTTAGATTGAGGTGTAAGTAATCTTGAAAATATTCACAAAGGTGCTGACAAATCGCCTGTCAAACAAATTCGACTTCTATCAACCCCCGGAACAGGCAGGGTTTCGAAGTGGATATAGTACTGTGGATCACCTTCAGGCAGTCCGCACTCTCATAGAGAAAAGCACCGAATACAACTTCCCTATATATGTCGCCTTTGTGGATTATGAGAAGGATTTCGACTCTATAGAGCTACACGCCATCCTCGATGCCCTACAAAATGCCAGAATAGGCTACAGATACTCGGGCATAATATCATCTATTTACAAATCAGCTACATTGACTATCAAACTGGATGACATAAATATCACAAATAAAATTAAAATGGAAAGAGGAGTCCGACAGGGAGATAGTATTTCCCCCAAACTTTTTACACTGGCCCTGGAGGACGTATTTAAGAAGCTGAACTGGGACAAGATGGGTATTAAGGTAGATGGTGGGATGCTTAACCACTTGCGCTTCGCTGATGATGTCGTTGTCCTGGCATCATCGTTGGAAGAACTTCAAACAATGCTCGAACAACTTCACCACACATCTGCGCAAGTAGGTTTAAAAATGAATTTGTCTAAAACTAAAACCCTAAATGAAAATGAAGAGCAAGTTAATGTTAATGGACAAAAAGGATTGAGAACGTTAAAGAGTATATATATATATATATATATATATATATATATATATATATATATATATATATATATATATATATATATATATATATATATATATATATATATATATATATATATATATATATATATATATATATATATATATATACCGCCGACAGACGAGGATAACGGACATAGTAGAGAGGATAGCTAACTCTAAATGGTCTTGGGCAGGACACTTGGCCAGACAGTTCGAGGAAAGATGGGCAAAAAGACTTCTTTGCCTAGCAAAACGCCCAGTCGGCCGACCTCCTAAAAGATGGGCTGATGATATCCAAACCGTAGCCGGTAAGAACTGGATGAGGAGAGCACAGAATCGAAACGAGTGGAAGAAACTGAGAGAGGCCTACATTCTGCAGTGGATGAGTAATGACTGAGAAGATATGAATAGGGTTAAAATGTGTTGTATGTACAAACAAAGTCCAAGTGGGCGGTCTACAAGCATTTCTCCTACTACAATCCTACCTCCGTTGGTCGCTACAGTTAACTCATTAGCGTGAATCATTTTTCCAGCCTCCTTCGACTTTTCTTTCTCTAAAAAAATGAATTTATCACAAAATATAGCACAACATAGTCGCATAAATATCAATCAATGACTTGACAATCTCAAAAATTGTTACAAATCATTGACAGAACTTTATTATGGGATGATATCCCATTTCTGATGTTGGAAATTAGATTATATTCTTAGTAACCTGTCTCAATTTATCAAATAATTTTGTGACTAGGTACACAGTAATTGTACCGCAGGTTGCCTCTCACTGCCCGAAAGATGTGCCACTGAATTCTGTATGAAAAACTCTGTGGGGTTCAGTTTGCCTCTTTTCGATAAGTTATAAGATATAAGATATAACCGATTGGAATATGTAGCGGAATTCAATTACCTCGGCAGTTTGATTTCGGAAAAGGCCAATATCGACTCGGAAATTCAGCACAGGATTAGCAGCGCCTCAAGAGCGTTCTGGAAATTAAAAGACAGGGTTTTCTACAATCATGACTTGAGTACAAAAACGAAACTTGCAGACAACGAACAACTGTCAGAAGTCAGAAGAAGACGCGCCGACGCACAGTGCTTCGAACATATGGCTCTAGAGGACAAAAATGCAAAACTTCTCTTTTATTGTAGGCAATTTATTCAAACTAGGTTTATTTGACACAAATGATGAGTACTCTCGTTGTACTAAATGATGATGTTCTTAGTCCCACGTTTATGAAAAAAATCTTATAAATAATAAAAATGTTGGAGCTGTGTTCCATCTAAGGAAATAATAATTTATAGTATGAAAACGGTATAAGTATTAAATAAATCCCTGTGAAAAAAAAGAGAATTGAAATAACATTAGAACATGATTCCTACAATATATAATATAAGATAAAAATGTTTTTCTTTAATGAAAAAGAAACATTAATGTTATATTTAATTAAAAAAAACTTAAGATACTATAAATTTACTTTAGGACAACAAAATGCATAGATCGTAACTACTCTGATTCAGAAGAATCACTGCTGAATCTTCCAAATTTATAGTATCCAAATCACAGGTAGATGAAGTATCCTCACATATAAGATATTTCTGTACGTCATTTTCTAATATGTTACTTTTTCGCGTTGTTACTGTTCTTTTTGTTGGTATGAGGGGTTCGGATGTTAATAGTTATCTCTTTAATAGACCATATCCATATATTATTTTTTCCTTTTCTTGGGTATGAGGTTTTATAATAAATTGAAAGGAGGGAACTTTTTTTATGCGACGTTTCGCTCCAACATAGTGGGCTTTTTCAGGCACAAGTGGTGTCTCATTTGACTGGAAGGTTCATCAATATCTAATAAAGAACACATTTTTTGAAATACAAATAATTTTGAGTTATTGTCCTTATGATCAAGCCAAGTATTAACCAGATCGGCATTGCTTATCAATTTTATTCCATCTGAAAAGTATTATAAAATAAAGTTCGTCGCAAGCAGACGCAGGTGAACTATACAAAAATTAAAAGTGTATGAATATGACAACAAAAATATTCAATAAGTACGATATGTTTTGATATATTTTTTTAAATGCCTTTTTGAAGTTTGAAAACGTAAAATTTTTATACCCATTTAAGAATCATATTAAAAAATAAATAAAAACTAAACAATCACGAACTTGTTTAGAAATAAATTTAAAGTACGTACCGTTTAACTCCATAATATACAGAACTACTATGAATGTTATTCTTTTCACTGATAAGATAATGATCGCAAAATTTATTTTTTGTGAAAATATTTGCTAACAAAAAACGCTGTTTATGAAAAATAATATACAGGATGGTCGAACATTGCTATAAGTATAAAATTACTAGATATTGGTAAATTTTAACTTTTTTTTCGATTTTTGTCCATGGGACGAAGCACTGTGCGACTCCGCGGGCCGCGACGGGCAATTTCCAGTTGTAGGGTCAGTGCACTGGTTATCCGGCCAGCACTGGTCCTCGGCCTTTTTAGGATTTAAAGCCAAATATTAGTAAATTTACTCTAGGTACTTGTAATGTATAATATATGATGGGGGAAGGGTAAAAACATGTAAATATATGTCAAAACTAAGCAAAAATTGGGTTTTTAGTTAAAATTTTGAGGGGCCGCAAACCAGTAATTAAAAAACACGCTCTTTTAGTTCTCGGCCAACATGGCCGAAAGTCAGTATAAAAAGTTATTTTTCAATCTTAAAAAAACTATAAAAAAACATATTTTGTCCTGTGTTTGTTATTTTTTTATTTACTTATATTATTGCTTTTTAATTATTAGATTGCGGCCGCTAAATTAATTCGAATATAAAATATAATTTGATCAAAAATTATGTTTAAAAATAGTGACCGAGAACTAGCCTTTCTCGGCCACCATGAAAAATAGTGTGGCCGACAACCAAGATCACTGTAGATTTCGGTTCTCGACCGCTAACCAACTCTAATCCTTTTGATTTTTTTCAATGGCTAGGGAAACTAGGAGAAATAAAACCCAGGGTAATAAAACCGTCTTGATACGACCTAAAGTATCCAGGATTAAAAGGAGTATGTACCAATACACAGAGAAAGATCTCAAGAATGCTCTGCGTGAGATCTGGGAAAACAAAATGAAAATAAGGGAGGCCAGTCGAAGATTTAATGTACCAAGGGCGACGATCCAGGATTGAATCAAAGGAAGAGTACCCGATCTTCTGAGGAAGCCCGATTAATGTTCAACGCCGAAGGAAAGTTTGCTCCTCCACTTCATGTGCGACTTCCCAGGGCTGTTATTGCCAATATGCCGAGCGGTTGGGTATTAGGAAAGTCAGAAAGAGGATGGATGACATCTGACTTATTTTTTGAGTTTATCAATAATGATTTTAACAAATGGCTGATTACAGAAAATATTCCGAAGCCTGTTATCCTGTTTGTGGATGGGCATAGATCCCATCTCACTATGACAATTAGTGAGTGGTGCCACAATAATGAAATAATCGCTCTTCCACCTAACATCACCCACATGCTCCAGCCTGCTGACGTTAGCGTCTACAAACCGATGAAATCGGAATGGAAAAAAACAGTTTGTAAGTGGCAGAACAAACCCGAAAATCTAAATTGCTCGGTGACAAAAATTAATTTTTGTAGCGTGTTTGACGAAATTTTATCAAAATCTGACAGATTTAAGCATTCTGTAAAGAATAGCTTCAGAAAATCAGATACCTATGGTTATAGGTATTTAACCGGTACCTAATGTTTATAGTTACTTATTTGTTATCGTTTATTTAGGTTTTAAGGAGCCTATTGCTATTATTGTATTACTAATATTCCTGCCATACGTACATATAAGTTTTTTAATTAAAGTTTTTTTATTGATACCTTCATAAATTAATTGATTCTTAATTAGGTACGCAGAATCATAGTAAGGTATCCTACCTATATTCTAGGTATACC